ACACAGCAAGGGTATCAAATGAGGGTGTGAAGACATTCGATTATAAAATTTTACTATGTAAATTCGAATTTTACTATTGTCACCGGAATACGAATTGGACCTTAATTCGCCGATCAATAACCCCGAAAATCCGGAGTAATAATTTATATATTATTTTTATATTATTTATATTATTTATTTTATTTATTTATTATTTTTAGTATTCATTATTTATTTTTACATATGTAAACTCGATAAGTTGGTTATGTCGGGGCGGACCCCTGCGACCGACTTATCGAGAGAACCGACTTATCAAATTTCACGTGATTTTTTAATTTATTAAAATAAAAAATGTTAACATTGAAAATATATAATAATAAACATTGAACTCCCCTTTTTACTGCCACCTTTACTAGATGATCCTTCGGTGCTCATAATTATGGTTCTATAATGTGTGTTTTGAAAGGTTAATGTTAAGTATTTATTGTAAACAATTACAATTTTTTGAAATTTTTAAAATGTTTATTTATTATTTATATGTTATTGATTTTTTTATCTCAAACATTAGGTCACGAAATCAACATAATAAAATTTTACAAGAATACAAATGTATTTTTCTTCAGACTACATCAATGATGATATAACTGATGATATATAACTGATGATATAAAAATGAGATAAAAAAATATAGATGTATTGTTCACAATTAGACAAGAATGTTCTCCGAATTATTTGAATGATACAATTGATGATACAACTGCTGAGATAATAAAATATTAATTCGTGATCTGTGAAACAACTGCAAAATTTTCATAATAGAATTTGGCACAAAATTTTGCAGATCACTAATTAAAATTTTCTGGACTCCAACTTTCACCCCAACGTAACCACCCTTTATGTTGATATAAACTAAAATTGTACTTTTAACACAATATATGAATCTCAAAGTTTAAATATACAAATTTTCAAAAGGACTTTCTTATAGAATATTTTATGTTTATACGTAAGAATCGCTGGATTCCCGCCTAAAATTATCATATAAAATTTAAGGTTTGGAATAAAGATTTAAGCAATTAAAAAAATTTATGATATAAAAATGGTTGTAGAATTAATTTTATCAAAGAAAAATATAAATATGTTATTTCTATTTAGTTTTTAATAATTACTAATGATTTTAATAATTATAATATTATTTTGCAACAGAGAGAATTAGAGATAATTAATTATTGATGAAAATAAAAATGAAATTGAAGTATAGAAAAATTATATTACAGTCATAATGATTAGTATTATTATATCAAACAAAAAAAACTTATCATTAATAATTTTAACTTTCAACTCCAAGTTTTATCTGGGCACTTCTTTCACGCAACTGTGCTGTATATCGGGTTATCCATCCTTGTATAGTTGATAGTTTTGGTAAATCTGAGATTTCAATTTCTCCTTCTACTTTTAGTTTCAAAAAATCTAACATCTCTTGTGCATTCATCCGACAGCTCTTATCAATATTTCCAGCCAAAAAGCACTGTTCTAAAGTAAGTACAATACTTTTTTTCATATGTTTACCACAACCCTTTTTACCATATTTTTGAACTTCCTT